TTTCAAAGAAAGCAGGGACCTATGTCTTAGAAACCAGAAACATGGCTTTCGCTCTTCTGCATGGTCACTACAACTTTCAAACCTCCAGCTGTCAGTAACAGAATATTCTGCACTGTTCTACAAGTAGGAAAAGATGAGCCTTCTCAAACCACAGAGATGTGAAGGGAACTGCAGCCACCCCCACCTCTAACACTACAGGGACAGACAGGAGAAGCTACATACAACAAACTCCAAGCCTCTCAAATCAGCCTGGTTTATATACATTGGTCTCATATAAACCAAGAAAGCATGAAAGCTCCAGGGTTGGCTTTGGAATCCTTCCTTAAGTGCTCCCAGAGACACACTTGTATGTATAGACACATAGGTTGACCATCAGCACATAGAGGTTTAATTACACTACACAAAATCCCTAGGTACCTAGGAAAGACTACAGGGCAAATAAACATTTCATTGATAATATCAGTCAAATATAAAGGACTTCTGCCTGAGAAGTGAGTATGACCCTCATAAATGGCCAGACTTCCCACATTCCAGAGAAATTCCAGGTGCCTCCTACATGGTCAATACTGGGACCTCAGACACATTAGGCCCAAAGATAAGATACATCATAGTATGGGTGACCTTCACAGTCCAGTGAAGAACCAACAACTTAAACTTGAAAGAGTCTCAGCACGATCTGTAACATGATTCTTAAAAAATTTATAATAAAAAACCCAGAGCCAGATATTGGGGTGAAAGCTGAAAGATCAGAGAAGCAGAACAGCCAGCCATTAGCTTCAAGAGAGCAAGTTCCTGTTTCCTCATGCCTTATATAGCTTTCTGTGTCCTGCCATATTACTTCCTGGGATTAAAGGCTTGTGTCACCACTGCCTGATTCTGTTTCTCTCATGTAGCCCAGTGTGGCCTTGAACTCACAGAGATCCATTCTGCCTCCTGAGTCATAGGATTAAAGGGTGTGTGTGTGTGTGTGTGTGTGTGTGTGTGTGTGTGTGTGTGTGTGTCTGTGTCCCAGGTGGTCTTATTTCTGGGGAAAATAGAATGAACAGATTCCATTTTATCTCTCCCTTTGAAAGCAGCTATAAATTGCAGACAGGAAACACAAAATTTTTATTTACGCACCTAAAATTTAAATAGGCAGATTAAGGGGAAAACATATTTTAAGACCAACAAACTAGCAGTTATTTTATCATGTCCTCCCCTTTGTATCCACCTGCCTCAGTACAATGCGGTCTGAAGCCTAGACGTGGACACTGGGCACACATAAACTGTTCCAGGACAAACTTTTGGTTCTGCCTCAAGGATGAAAAGGGAATCCCCTATTCTCTGGGAGACTATGGGGCAGCCCATTTTCTCACTCTTTTGTGTTCAGGGGCCCCAAACATGTGTTTGGTGAAAACAGTGCAGAAGGGGAGAGAACCTGCAACGGAGTCCACGAGCATCAACATCTTGCAAGACTGGAAAATTCTCCAGTCCCCAAAACCCTATTGTGTTCCCTCCCTCTTTTCTCTGCTTTTCCGCCTCTTAGCTCCAGTCACAGGCATAAAAGGGAAGTGCATAGTAGAGAATCTAAAAAAAAATCATATGTCTGTGTGGAGAGCTATGTGTCATAGGTCTTTCTTTGGACCACCAGCTCCTGAATAATGACACGGAGACTTCTTATTAAGTATGAAAGCTTGGCCTTAGCTTAGGCTTGTTTCCAACTAGCTCTTAAAAATTAAATTAGCTGAGCAGTGGTGGCACATGCCTTTAATCCCAGCACTCAGGAGGCAGAGCCAGGCAGATCTCTGTGAGTCCTGAGGTCAGCCTGGTCTACTGAGCGAGATCCAGGACAGGCACCAAAACTACACAGAGAAACCCTGTCTTGAAAAACAAAAACAAACAAACAAAAAGAAACTTAATCCATTTATATTAATCTACATTCTGTTATGTGGCTAAGTACCTCTACTCAGTACCATATGATCAATTTCCTCTGTGACTGGTGGAGAATTTCCTGCACCACAGATTCTTTCCCAGAGTTCCTATCTCTCCCCAGAAGTCCCACCATCCTCTCCTGCCTAGCTACTGGCTATTAAGCTCTTTATTAAACCAATCAGAAGGTGCCTTAGGCAGGTGAGGACGGACAGAGACACATCTTCACACAGTGTACAACAAGATTATCCCAACTACTATGTTTCCATAGGACTGTGTTAGTACTGGCAATTATGTTTTGATGTCCTGAGAGTGAACAATTCCAAAAGGAGACTGAGAAAGAAAATCACCAACCGTACATCAAAAAGAAAATATTTAGAAATTCATTTAGCCCAGGAAGTAAATGCAGCATATAGAAATCTATAAAATGGTAACAAAAGAAATGCAAGCAAATGGAGATACCATGACCATGGATTGGGAAGCTAAATATTGTTAAGATGGCAACACTATTCCAAAGTACCCTACAGATTTCATTCAATTTCTACAAAATGGCAACAATTATTTTTATTGCAAAAAAGAGAGACACGTACTCTAAAAGTCATATGGAATTTAAAGATCCCCTGAATAGTCAAACTTTTCAATGACATATGTAATTGAGAACATAGGATTTGATTAAAATCCTATAGAAATAAGACACCTGGGTTGTGGTGAACACGGAAGGATTGTATGAGACACAGAATAGGATCTAATTTTAGGACTAGCAGGACTTGGGTTCGAGTTGGGGATATGTGAGGAATCTCACAATATAAAGTTGCACGAGCCAAGTGAAATGGTGTGTTCTAAGGACCCTGAATAGATTAATTTAGACTGGGCAGTATGTGGGGAATAGAGGAGCTGAGACTGGGCAGTATGTGGGGAATAGAGGAGCTGAGAGTGGGCAGTGTGGGGGGAATAGAGGAGCTGAGAGTGGGCAGTGTGGGGGGAATAGAGGAGTTGAGACTGGGCAGTGTGGGGGGAATAGAGGAGCTGAGACTGGGCAGTGTGTGGGGAATAGAGGAGCTGAGACTGGGCAGTGTGGGGGGAATAGAGGAGCTGAGAGTGGGCAGTGTGGGGGGAATAGAGGAGCTGAGACTGGGCAGTGTGGGGGGAATAGAGGAGCTGAGAGTGGGCAGTGTGGGGGGAATAGAGGAGCTGAGACTTGGCAGTGTGGGGGGAACAGAGGAGTTGAGACTGGGCAGTGTGGGGGGAATAGAGGAGTTGAGACTGGGCAGTGTGGGGGGGAACAGAGGAGTTGAGACTGGGCAGTGTGGGGAATAGAGGAACTGAGGATAACAAGAATATCTTGGAGAACCAATCAGTTGGTTATAATTGCCACATTGGGGCTCAGAGGTCTCAAAGGCACAGTTGATAAATAATTCTGTTGCCACTGCAGTTAAAGAGGTATAGGCAAAGTCCAGAGTGGAAAGGGTGGTTTAATAATATACCGGGTCCTTCCTGGTCTTGATTAGGGTAAGTGAGCCAGAGTGCAGCGGAGGACACTTTCTTCTAGATCTTAGTTATGTGCAGGGGCAGGTGAGACTGTTGGGGAAGAGGGTCATACACATAAACAAGACTTATCTAGGATCACAACTGGGCTCCAAGCCCTCTACATCACAGATGAAGTCAGGACCAAAGAGGAACAGGTCTCACATGAACTTCCAGATAGATATGAGGGAGATAAACACAATTGTTTTATTTCCCAGAACTCAGTGATTACAGAGTTGGCGAGCTAGGCCAGTTTTACAGTCCCTTCCAAAACTCAATTTCTGAGATGCCTCGTATCTAAAGTGCAAAACAAATAGAAGACATCAAATGCGTGGAACAGAAAACAGAACCATAGCTCAAACTGTGGAAACTAAATGAAGAACAACTTATTAGAGGGGCTGAAGATGGAATAAAATTCTTCTTAATTTCTGGCAAGTCTGTGTTTAAAAAGTAATGTATTCTTTCAGACTTTGAATTTCAGTTAAGCAGACTGTACTCATTTTGTTCTCTGGTCTTATACTACAGAATGTTGCTGAGTTATTATTAAATATTTCATGAAGGAGTCTTGAAGATCACCATAAATATTTACAGGAACGAATAAATGTGGTGTGATTTCTCTAGAGTGGGTTTGTGTTGCCAAGAGAGAATGACTGAGTCAGAGAAAGGACAGATTGATTCAGAATGAGTCCAAGGACGATTTAATGCCTACTCAGCTTTGGTTGAGAGTTCAGTTCTCCAGAGGCTAAGGAGAAGGTTACATATGCAAGCATAACACGGGGAAATTGGGTTAGATTTAATGCATTTTTATACATTTAAATTATCTTTTAATGACACAGTGTTGATCTCATTCCTTTCATCAAGCTCCAAGCACTTAGCCATTGATACTGCTGATGCTCCACATCACAGAGATTGGTGAGTATCTATGTTCATCTCTCTGTGTGGTTTTGAGTGCCTCTGTATATGGATGGTCTCCATAAACAATGAAATATGTTTGTAGTTCTGACAATAAAACCAGGGCTTCCCCAATACTAGGCAGTTTCTTAACACTTCTGTCTCCAAGCCAGTAATAAAGTTATTGGATGAGAAGTCAGATACTGTCTTCATGATGGCACAGTGAGTTAATACATCTTACAGTAAAAGACATATTTGAGCCTCACTGAGCAGGGGGGTGGGTTCTGTGGATGTTGGGGGTCTAAACCCCAGTCCTCACTTGTGTGGCATGTGCTATACCTCTGTGCCTTCACAAGACCAGTTTCACACGATTTTAAAAGCAATTCCCCTGGTACTGAGTAGGTCCAAAATTCAGTGTAATGGAAACAGGACCAAGAGGCTGGACTAAAGTCTAGGAATGAAGAGGTGGCTGAGAGGTGGTTCAAACACAGATGATGTCATTCCTAATCCAGATATATTCTGCCTAAAGTAGAAAAAAGTAAAACTAGAAGGATGAGGGGAAGTGAACTGGATACCAGAACAGAGAATAAACTCATCATTTAGGAGTACTTAAGGAATACTCTAATCAGTGAGAGTATGAACCCTTATTTTTCATAGGATGCACTGATTTATCTTCAAGTACTTGTTCCTGCCCAAAGCTATGGGAAGCTTCAACACCAGCTTGGGAGGAGGCTTCATTTTGGTGGGCTTCTCAGACTGGCCTCAACTAGAAATCATCTTCTTTATTTATATTTTGATTTTCTACTCCTTCACTCTCTTTGGCAACACCGCCATCATTGCTCTCTCCCAAATGGACCTTCGATTACACACTCCCATGTACTTCTTCCTCTCCCACCTCTCCTTCCTGGACCTCTGCTTCACCACCAGCACTGTGCCCCAGCTCCTGATCAACCTTCATGGACTTGACAGGACCATCAGCTATGGAGGGTGTGTGGCCCAGCTGTTTATATTTCTCGCTCTGGGCTCCACAGAGAGTTTGCTCCTGGTGGTGATGGCCTTTGACCGCTATGCTGCTGTGTGTCCTCCCCTGCACTACACGATCATCATGCACCCCCTTCTCTGCCAGGCATTGGCGATTGTCTCCTGGGTGGGAGGCCTCATGAACTCTCTGATCCAGACAAGCCTCATGATGACCATGCCCCTCTGTGGCCATCGACTGAATCACTTCTTCTGTGAGATGCCTGTGTTCCTCAAGTTGGCCTGTGAAGACACAGAAGGAACAGAGGCCAAGATGTTTGTGGCCAGAGTGGTGATTGTTGCAATTCCAGCTGTGCTCATCTTGGGCTCCTATGCACAGATTGCCAGGGCAGTGCTGAAGGTCAAGTCAACAGCTGGTCGCAGAAAGGCTATTGGGACCTGTGGTTCCCACCTCCTGGTAGTTTCTCTGTTTTATGGCTCAGCCACCTACACATACTTACAGCCCAAGGACAGCTATTCTGAGAGCAAGGGGAAGTTTGTTGCTCTTTTTTATACTATCATCACCCCCATGCTCAACCCTCTGATTTATACCCTGAGGAACAAGGATGTGAAGGGGGCTCTGTGGAGGGTGCTAGGGAGAGGAACAGCCACAGGATAGGAAAGAACATTTGAGCAGTGAAAAGCTTTATATTCTGTCAGTCCAGAGGGTTTCAGTGGGAGAGGGGAGTTGAATGTCAATGCAAGTACAATTAATTATGTACATTCATGTGACTGTCAAAGCATATAAAAATAGAAAAACAAAAACAGAAACAGTCTTGGGCTGGCAAGATGGGTCAGCAGGTAAAGGATTTGCTGCCAAGGATTGGAGTTTGATGCCTGAATTCCATATGGTGGAAAAGATAGTCAAGACCTCTGACCTCCCTATACGTGTGTGTGTGTGTGTGTGTGTGTGTGTGTGTGTGTGTGTGTGTGTGTGTGTGTACAATAAATCAATAAACATAATAAAATTAAAATAAAAGAAAACAGTCCCCAGGAGGCATCAGAACTTTAATACCAGCCTTGTTTGGAAGTTGGAGTGCGGATCTGCTCTCCGAGTTACTCTCTCTCATCACTGCTCAGCAAGGATAAATGTGAATTCAGAAACAACTTTCCATAGGAGGAGACTGGGAGAGGTTGACTGTGAGCACCTGTGGAAATGGGCTGGGTTCTTGGCAGGGAAGAGTACTGTGAACACTTGTGGGAACTGGATTGGTTCTTGGCAAGTCTGAATGTCATCGGATTTATAATTCTGAGTTGCAACACTCCAAGTCAGATGTGGTGTCATACAGTGGACACTGTGACCCAAGGGTTCACTCTGATTTTCTATCCATTTTGTGTTTTCATTTTAATTTAATATCCATACATTGATCATATCCACCCACAGGTCTTTCTTCCAATTTCTATCCTTTCCCTCAACACCACTTTTGTCTCCCAACTTCATGCCTTTTAAAAAAATACATGGGATCTATGTAGGGCCACCTGCATTTGCATGGATGTGGAGCATCAGGTCTAAGTGGGGCCTCAACATCACACCATTTTCCTGATGTATTGTGACCCTATCTGGCTTCAGTCATAACTCGGGGTCTTTTGTAAAGGCCTCTTATGCTAGTGCTTACCATTCCTAGCTTGGAATAAACAAGCTGATGATGAGCAGAGCTGCTTTGTGTAGTGTGTGAAATTCAGACATGGGTTCATTTACCCTCTTGGAGAAAAAGGCAGAATCATTTATTACACACGCTGCTACAAAGCAAGGCAAGAAAGATCTCCTAGCATAACCCTGAGTATCTATCATGCCAACTGGCAGCGTTCCTCTCCTGTTAGATAGAGGTGAGGATAGGGAAAATGATTATACACATAATAAACTAAGGAAAATTCAAAGAAATCTAAACTTATATATGTCCTGATGCAAAAATTTATATAGAATAAAATCTATATTTGTGAAAAAATTATTAATGGAAATTTAAAAGAAGCAAGGGAAGAGGCTACTATTTATTGTGTGACCAGCTGTGTGAAAGTTGATTTGGGGCTCCACTTCACTTCTCTTCATCTCTCTTTTATTTGACTATCAGTCTTCTATCACTATTGTTTACTTCCATGTATTTAAATGGTGGTTTGGTGTTTACAAGTGCAGGGATCTTTGTTGATAGACTTTTGAAAGTATGGTAAATTTTGTGTTAACTGAATCATGTTTTATTATAATTTTCCACTGATTTTGCTTATGTTTGCAACTCATTTTGCTAACCATGTCATTAATCCTTTCTCAGTATTGCCAAAGTTGTTATATTTTGCTGTATTCTTTGGCTGATGCAAAAATACAATTTTCACCTCAAAAGGTATTTTGTGGATTTTCCTGGGCAGATGTGAGGAAACATCTACTCACCTAAGATAGAGCAACCATAACAAACCAAAGAAGTTATTTCATCCAACTCTACCTTAGCTAACCAGGGAATTCATTTGGGGTCACTTACAGGAGTGTGAAAGGCTCAAAGGCAGCTGCATTACCAAAAAGCCCATCCCAGTATTGGTGATGGCACAGGAAAGTCACATTCCTGGACTGGACTTCCCTGCCCAACTTGCAGGTGTCTCAGCCAGTCAGATGGAATGTCTTCTCCATAGCAGTTGTCTCTGCTTGTGTAAACTTGGGGAAGACTGGTGTACTTCTCGTTAGTTTCAGGAACTTCTTTTTTTTCATTTTTTTTTTTATTAAGAAATTTTCTACTCACTCCATATACCATCCACAGATACCCCTTTCTCCTTCCTCCCACCCCAGCCCTCTCTCTCAAGCCCCCCCGCATCCCCACATCCTCCAAATCAAGGTCTCCCATGGGGAGTCAGCAGAGCCTGGCACACTGAGTCTAGGCAAGTCCAAGCCCAAGCCCCTTCCCACTGCACCAAGGCTGTGCAAGGTGTCACACCACAGGCACCAGGGACTGACCCAATCCCTCTGTAGGGTGCCCCCCAAACAGTTCGAGCCAAACAACTATCTTCCGTATCCAGAGGGCCTAGTCCAGTCCCATGGGGGCTCCACAGCCACCAGTCCACAGTTTATGGGCTTCTGCTAGTGTGGCTGGTCATCTCTGCACGTCCTCTCATCATGATCTCGACGTCCCTCACCTGCCGAATCCCTCCTCTCTCTATCAATTGGATTCCCGGAGCTCAGCTTGGTGCCTGGCCGTGAATCTCTGCATCTGCCTCCATCAGTCACTGGACAAAGGCTCTATGATGACAGCTAGGTTATTCACTAGACCGGTCACCAGAGTAGACCAGTCCAGGCACCCTCTGGACCACTGCCAGTAGATCAAGGTGGGGTCATCCTTGTGGATTCCTGAGAGCCTCCCCAGCACCCTGCCTCTTCCTATTCCCATGATGTCTTCATCTATCATGGTATCTTCCTCCCTGCCCTCCCACTCTGTCCCTGTTCCAGCTTGACCCTCCCATTTCCATATGTTCTCATTCCCCATGCTTGTCCTCTGCCACCCCCCCACACCCAGTCTGCTCATGTAGATCTCATCCACTTCTCCTTTGCAAGGTCATCCATGTGTCCCTCCTAGGGTCTTTCCCTATTAGCTAGCCTCTCTGGAGTTGTGGGTTGCAGTCTGGCCATCCCTTCCCTCACATCTTGTATCCATTTATGAGTGAGTATGTACTATGTTTGTCCTTTTGAATCTGGGTTTCCTCACTCATGATGATATTTTCTAGGTCCATCCATTTGCCTGCAAATTTCATGATATCACTGTTTTTTACTGCTGAGTAGTACTCCATTGTGTGTATGTGTCACATTTTCTTTATTCATTCTTCAGTTGAGGGGCATCTAGGTTGTTTCCAGGTTCTTGCTGTTACGAATAATGATGATATGAACATAGTTGAGCATGTGTCCTTGTGGTAAGATTGAGCATTCCTTGTATATATGCCCAAGAGTGGTATAGGTGGGTCTTGAGGAAGACTTATTCCCAATTTTCTGAGAAACCACCATACTGATTTCCAGAGTGGCTGTACAACTTTGCATTCCCACCAACAGTGGAGGAATGTTCCCCTTGCTCCACATCCTCTCCAACCTAAGCTGTCTTCAGTGTTTTTGATGTTAGCCATTCTGACAGACTTGTTTTGATTCGCATTTCCCTGATGACTAAAGATGTTGGCAATTCTTTAAATGTCTTTCAGCCATTTGAGATTCTTCTATTGAGAATTCTCTGTTTAGCTCTGTAGCCCATTTTTTACTTGGATTGTTCAGTATTTTGAAGTCTAGCTTTTTGAGTTCTTTATATATTTTGGAGATCAGCCCTCTGTCAGATATGGGGTTGGTAAATATCTTTTCCCATTCTGTCGGCTATTGTTTTGTCTTATTGACCGTGTTCTTTGCTCTACAAAAGCTTCTCAGTTTCAGGTGGTCCCATTTATTAATTGTCACTCTCAGTGTCTGTGCTACTGGTGTTATATTCAGGAAGTGGTCTCCTGTGCCAATGAGTTCCAGACTACTTCCTACTTTCTCTTCTATCAAGTTCAGTGTAACTGGATTTATGTTGAGGTCTTTGATCCACTTGGACTTGAGTTTTGTGCATAGCGACAGATATGAATCTGTTTGCAATCTTCTGCATGTTGACATCCAGTCATGCCAGCACCATTTGTTGAAGATGCTTTCTTTTTTCCATGGTACAGTTTTGGCTTCTTTTTCTAAAATCATATGTTCATAGGTGTGTGGATTAATGTCAAGGCCTTCAATTCGATTCCATTGGTCTGTATGTCAGTTTTTAATGCCAGTACCAAGCTGTTTTTATTACTATAGCTCTATAGTAGAGCTTGAAGGTCAGGGATTATGATGCCTCCAGAGGTTGCTTTATTATACAGGATTCTTTTAGGTATCCTAGGTTTTTTGTTTTTCCATATAAAGTTAAGTATTATTCTTTCCAATTGTGTGAAGAATTGTGTTGGGATTTTGATGGGGATTGCCTTGAATCTGTAGATTGCTTTTGGTAAGATTGCCATTTTTACTATGTTGAGTCTACCTATCCATGAGCATGGGAGATCTTTCCATTTTCTGATATCTTCTTTGGTTTCTTTCTTCAGAGACTTAAAGTTCTTATTATACAGGTCTCTCACTTGCTTAGTAATAGTTACTCCAAGGTATTTTATATTATTTGTGGCTATTGTAAAAGGTGATGTTTCTCTGATTTCTTTCTCAGCCCATTTATCATTTGTATATAGGAGGGCTACTGATTTTTTTGAGTTAATCTTGTATCCTGCCACCTTACTTAAGGAGTTTATCAGCTGTAAGAGTTCCCTGGTAGAATTTTTGGGGTCACTTATGTATACTACCATATCGTCTGCAAATAATGAAAGTTTGACTTTTTCCTTTCCAATTTGTATCTCCTTGATCTCCTTTTGTTGTCTTATTGCTCTAGCTAGAACTTTAAGTACTATGTTGAATAAGTATTGGGAGAGTGAAAAGCCTTGCCTTGTTCCTGATTTTAGTGGAATTCCTTTGAGTTTCTCTCCATTTAATTTGATGTTGGCTGTCGGCTTGCTGTAAATTGCCTTTATTATGTTTAGGTATGTTCCTTGTATTCCTGATCTCTCTAGAACCTTTATCACGAAGGGGTGTTGGATTTTGTCAAAGGCTTTTTCAGCATCCAATGAGATGATCATGTGGGTTTTTTTTTCTTTCTGTTTGTTTATATGGTGTATTACATTGACAGATTTTCATATGTTGAACCATCCTTGCATCCCTGGGATGAAGCCTACTTGGTCATGGTGGATAATTTTTTTGATGTGTTCCTGGATTCAGTTAGTCAGTGTTTTATTGAGTATTTTTGCATCAATGTTCATGTGGGAGATTGGTATGTAATTCTCTTTCTTTGTTACATCTTTGTGTGATTTGGGTGTCAGGGTAGCCTCATAAAAAGAATTTGGTAATGTTCCTTCTGTTTCTAGTGTGTGGAACAATTTGAAGAGTATTGGTATTAACTCTTCTTTGAAAATCTGGTAGAATTCTGCACTGAAACCATCTGGTCCTGGGCTTTTTTTGGTTGGGAGACTTTTAATGACCGTTTCTATTTCCTTAGTGGTTATTGGTCTATTTAAATTATTTATCTGGTCTTGATTTAACTTTGGTATGGGGTACCTATCCAGGAAATCGTCCATTCCTTTCAGATTTTCTAATTTTGTGGAGTAGAGGTTTTTGAAGTATGACCTGATGATTCTCTGGATTTTCTCATTGTCTGTTGCTATGTCTCCCTTCTCATTTCTGATTTTGTTAATTTGGATGCTGTCTCTCTCTCTGCTTTTTGGTTAATTTGGATAAGGACTTGTCTATCTTGTTGATTTTCTCAAAGAACCAACTCTTTGTTTCATTGATTCTTTGTATTGTTCTCTTTGTTTCTATTTTATTGGTTTCAGTCCTCAATTTGATTATTTCCTGGCATCTGTTTCTCCTGGTGAGTTTGCTTCTTCTTGTTCTAGAGCTTTCAGTTGTGCTGTTAAGTCACTAGTGTGAGATTTCTCCAGCTTCTTTATGTGGGCATTTAGAGCTATGAATTTTCCTCTTAGCACTGCTTTTATGGTGTGCCATAAGTTTGGGTATGTTGTACATTCCTTTTCATTGAATTCTAGGAAATCTTTAATTTCTTTCTTTATTTCTTCCTTGACCCATTGGTGATTCAATTGGGCATTATTCAGTTTCCATGAGATTATAGGCTTTCTGTAATTTTTGTTGCTGTTGAAGTCTAACTTTAAGCCATGGTGGTCTGATAAGACACAGGAGGTTATTTCAATTTTTTTATATCTGTTGAGATTTGCTTTGTAACCAAGCATGTGGTCGATTTTGGAGAAGGTTCCATAGGGTGCTGAAAAGAAGGTATATTCTTTTGTGTTAGGGTGGAATATTCTGTAAATATCTAATAAGTCTATTTGAGTCATAATGTCTGTTAGTTCCTTTATTTCTCTGTTAAGTTTCTGTCTGGCAGACCTGTCCATTGGTGAGAGTGGGGTGTTGAAGTCTCCCACTACTAGTGTATGGAGTTTGATGTGCGATTTAAGCTTTAGTAATGTTTCTTTTATGAATGTAGGTGCCCTTGTATTTGGGGCATAAATATTCAGAATTGAGACTTCATCTTGTTGGATTTTTCCTGTGATAAATATGTAATGTCCTTCTCGATCTCTTTTGATTGATTTTAGTTTGAAGTCTATTTTATTAGATATTAGGATAGCTACACCAGCTTGCTTCTTAAATCCATTTGATTGGAAAGTCTTTTCCCAGCCTTTTATTCTGAGGTAGTGTCTATCTTTGA